AGTGCCACTTTCGTAAAATTACAGAACTGGACACGTATGGGTGGCACCATCTTGTCGCAGATACGTATTTCCTTGGCAAGAGCAGGCCATGGATGTAATTCAGCGACATCTCACACATGGTTAACGGGGTACCCCCAGTTTCAGCTCCTGAGTAACAGGTCCAAAACTGAAATTATGGTTTGGGGGCAAAAAAAAATTATTATTATTATTTTTTTTTGCCTGTTTTTTGTCTTACTTCAAGGTTGTTGTGTAAGCCGAAGGACCGTCCGTAACTGTGTGGTGCAAGCAACCTGATGCATGTGCATGACCTGAAATTTAGGAACGAAACCCTATCATGTGCAGGGCGGCAGTATGGCTGCCGTGACTACTGTAGAACACAGATCATGCACTCCAGTTGGCGAATGTTAGGTGTGAGCTCGGAGTTTGAGACATTTGTTTGCAACCATTGCAGCAAGATGGAGCGCCAAGCAGAGGTGGCTTGGGAGAGGGCTCGAGAAATAGATTGCCATTCTGAGTTGGCTGCTTGTGTAAGCATGCGATGTAGGGTAGAACGGACAGTGTAGAATGGACCTGGAGTAGTATGAATCGTGAAGGGTGTGTCTGCATGAAAATGTGTTGCGGGGCGAGTCGTAGGAGGATTTGGACTACCTCTAGATCGAACCCACCTGTTCGAGCGATGAGAGTGTGTGTATGTGTGTGTGTGTGTGTGTGTGTGTGTGTGTGTGTGTGTGTGTGTGTGTGTGTGTGTGTGCGTGTGTGTGTGTGTGCGTGCATGCGGTGTTGCTGCAACTCTCTCATAAAAAGGACATTGTCTTTTGTGCATTTGGTGTGATGCTGCAACTCTCTCTCTCTCTCTCTCTCTCTCTCTCTCTCTCTCTCTCTCTCTCTCGCTCTCTCTCTCTCTCTCTCTCTCTCTCTCTTTCTCTCTGTGTGTGTGTGTGTGTGTGTGTGTGTGTGTGTGTGCGTGTGTGTGTGTGTGTGTGTGTGTGTGTGTGCGCCTTGGTCATGCGGTATCGAAGTATGCCCAAAAAAAACACTGATATGTCCAATATGAGCGCACCACCAGCACGCTACGGACAAAGCTTCCCATCAGGTCGCTATGGAGTAAGTGAAGACATCATCAAAAAAAAAGAAAAACAACAACAACAATGCCAGTGCGAGGTTACAGTGCCAGGGACCCAGGGTTACTGTTTCAAATTCGCAGAAATAACCGGTCCAGCAACTTCATGTGGAGGGCAGTTTGACTGCTGGCCCCCATAGTGGATGGGGCTCTTGTCCTTAATACTCCTAAACAGTACAGCGGGTCTTGCGTGACGCTCCCACGGAGACCCGCTTCCTAGTGTTGGGAAAGTTGTCGCTTCGATAGGGCGGGCCAACGGGGAACTGGCCGAAACGTCGCGTCTGATTTTTCGTTTTCGGGGCGTGCGGGGCGTGAATCCAATGGTTTGACCCCAGAGAATGCATAGCGTTTTTTTTTTTTTTCCACTCTGTCGACGAGGAACTCGCCGAATCTGGTCGCGGGACGTGGAGGAATGCATCGCTTTTTTTTTT